AATATCATGATGTAAAATGTCTTTTGTTTACATGTACATGCGTCGGCCATCATTTAGTTTACAAAAAACTGACTATTTATTTCAACTCAAATTATTATCGGGCTTTGAGTGGTCGCGTAATTTCGAAAACGGGTGTAATTTTTGTAGTCTATACTGCGCCCTGTGTAGAACCATGGATTATAGTATATCATGGTAGGAGTTTGGGCAGCTGTCACGTGAATTTCTCGACCAATAAAATCGTGTTTATTCTCATCCTGTTCGAAAAAATTTTTGGGCTTCAAATTTTCAGTGGACGCAGAAATGCCTAAAAATTGCCACAAAAGCAAGAATAACCACAAACGCAGAAATACCATTCCGTCAATTTGGCCATTCCGTCAATTCCGCCATTCCGTCTATTCCGCCATTCCGTCAATTCCGCCATTCCGTAAAATACACCATCCGTATTATAGACGGCCAACAATATTGAATCTCAGAGCAAGCGAAAACTCGAGAAAACGCGGATAGAGTCGTATAGGATTTTTACTCGTACTAAAATTCCCTCACTGAGTGTCAGTTTAATTTACAGTTTAAACATGAACGAATAGACACACATGCATGCATGCGTTGAAACATCATTTATATATACCAACTTTATAATACATGATCTATAACTCTAACTTGTTTGTATTTTTGTCATTTTAATTGAGCGAAAGGTTTATATTATCACGCGCTATAAAAGCTTTTTTACCAGGTTTTTTATAAAATATTTCGTGTGAGAAAGGATCAATATTAAAGAACTGTCTGTATTAAAGTGATGCTATTAAAAATACCAACTTCAAACGAGAATTGAAAATTATCCTTGGCACTTCAAGAGTAGCTAAGTCGGTAAAAACAAGGAAGCCAATCAACTGTTGTTACTTTAATATTTTGATTGTCATGTTTTCAACAATAAACAAAGATGGGCATTTAATATTCTCAACAAATAACAATTCTAGGTTTGATTTCTATTTTTCGGGCAAATATTTATTACTTTGAGACTGATTTCTGCCGAGGATTTCTGTTCGTTATTAGTAGCTATCGGTCAGAAAGGCACGTTTTACGCAATAATGATTGCAGCAATATTTTCACACACACCGGTATTTTTTTTCCGAATTTTTAACAAATTAAGAATTTTTAGTGTGCATTATTTTATTGATATTTCCTTTTTATTGATTATTGCAGTCTAGTTTGGGAAAATTGCAGCAATTACTTGCACGACAAGATGCAAAAAAATGCAAAATAGAGCGGCAAGAATAATTACTGGCAAATCATATGAAATACGAACAAGTGAATTGCTAAAAGAGCTTAATTGGCAAACACTTGAGGAAAGAAGGGAGAGCGGGAGATTCACATTCATGTTTAATGTTAAAAATCAGGAGGCACCGGCAAAATATGGCTAATTTGTTTAGATTCTCTAATAATGAAAAATATGACCTTAGAAATAACGGAATTAATTTTCAACTGGATAAACCTAAGACTAATTTCCTCAAAAAAAGTATTAGCTACTCAGGGGCAAAATGCTGGAATAATTTGCCAAATGAGATTAAGGCAAAAGAAATGACGATGGGACAATTCAAAACATTTCTCAGAGAAAACGACAATATTTGTTAGTTATATTTATGTGTGCATACAATATTTTGTATATATTCCCTTAGACTTTAACTGTGTGATAATTTATATTATATTATATTTTAGATGTAATTTTTATTAAACTTTGTAAATATTAGTTTAAACGGCCTCTTGAAAAACGGATCATAGGTGTTCTGAAGAGCTACCGTTTTAAAATATCTGTAAATAATAATAATAAATTGATATTTCCTTTCCTGTTCATTAATACTGAAAAATTTGTATTTTCCGATGTATTTTTGTACGACACGACTTTGTTTATCTGATTGTCTCGCTTTATGAAACAAATAAACCTTTATATTTTTCGCTGTGTAATATAAATAAACTCTGTATCGTCTATGAAGAACAAATTTTGCACTCGCTCGTTCGTTTAATTTGCGAAAACAGATTAACGCGTGCGTAAATACCACACGTAAGTATTTCCCATGAAAAAATCTCTATATACTATTCGGTTATCCGGTTATCCGGTTATCCGGTTATCCGATTATCCGGTTATCCGGTTATCCGGTACCCGGGTTTTCTACCATGCCCGTATTATTTCCCTCCCGCGCTGTTGCGAGGGAAACAGCCTATTTTCGTCACTCTCACGTGATATGCTCTCGGCCAATAAAACACTAGAAAAAGGGGACTTTGACTGTTGGTATATAATAATTATCACTTATTTACTGAGTGTGTTTTATGTATGACCCGAGGCGGTCGAGGGGGCACAAAACACACTACTTTCCCGAGGTCTCAGTAAATAAGTGTTTTGTTATATAGTGTCAAAGTATGAATAATTCACCGTTTATTGGAGTGAACTTAATTTGAAACCAGAACTTGATAAATAGAACGCCGTAAATGTTTAGTAAAACGTTTTAAAAATGAACTTTGGCACTTCATGGTTGACACGCATGCGTATTGCACCCATTTTATTATTGACCGGTCAATAAATGTTTGATTGCGGACCGGTTGCCGAACATGACGTTTTGTGGACCGGCACGTGACGCGGTTTTGACCAATTGGCAAACAGAAACATTGAACTTTGACACTAACTATATAACAATGCCTCTTGTTGCGATCAGGGAGCGAGCACCAGCGAGCGAGCTGGGAGAATCAGAATCTCTGGTATGGGAGTTTTGCTGGATTGTGAATTCAGCAAAAAATTGTATTTGACAGCACTTTTTTCCGGTGGATTGTGTATTCAACACCCTTTGCGAGCTCATTTCATCCGTATATGGAACTCGTGATCACATTTGTATACCGCATGGAATTGCCATCAATTTAAAATCTTGCAATAATTTTAAAGTTTAGTCGTAAAAGTAAGTGAAAATTGTTTATGTTTTACTAACAAAGCACTTTCACTGTTTAATTAAATAACAGTGTTTGCAGTATCAGATATTTTTGTTGGAAAAAAAAAATTTTTCAGGAAGTACTTTTATGTTTACAAGTGTTTTTACAAATATTTCATAATGCTTTAAAATATTTATTTTCGGGTGTCGAGATATATAGCAACATGTAAACAGGTTTTGACTCCCACCATTTATCACTGATATTATAGCAAACCTTTTCTCTGGTGGCGATTACGATTTATGGTATAATTTACAATTATTCGCCGAAGGCGAGGTGTTTATCGGAGAATATTCACCGAGACGAAATCGAGGTGATTATTCCCCGATAATCACCGAGCCCTAGCGAATAATTGTTTTAGTATTTTTACATGCACAAGTCTTGTTTGTGTTTTTGGGATTAAATTTATTTTAATTTTGCTAATTTTTTTATGAGTAACTTCCACTAAACGACTGGCCGCCATTTTGCAAATTTCGCGTTTTTACGATCTTACCTGTATAGGTGAATATAACAGCTCAAATACGTCAAATTTGCCCAATCAACTTGCAGGATTTGTTATATTCACTTGTGCAAAAATACCAAAAGGTTACATTTACTGCAAATCTAAATACTGTTAAGTTCAAGTATTCTTTAAAACAAATACACCGAATGATACGAGTCACGAATGTATGCAGAGGTGTTTCCTCGTTTTATGGAAGGCAAAAATGGAGCTCAGAATTGAAATTGTCGTGCTCAAATTAGTTTGTATCCAAAATTTTACGTTGTTTGGACAGCTTGGTTGCGAGTTAATATAACGCTTCGAATATTGAATTTTTTTGTAATTTGTATAGATTTGACTGGAACATGCTACACTAATTAAGTCGGATTGAAGAATTGTGTACGTCCTAAATCATCACAGGTATGAACCGATTTAACCGAATCAACCGGATAAGAAAAGATGTCTCCTTTTGTACGGTTATCTTAGCTTGTAAAGTGTGTACAGCTAATTCCAAAAAGGTTGTCCATTGTAAAGCTTAATTAAGGTTACAGAACACCTTTGAGTGTTAATTTTGCCCAAAATTTTTTTATTGGTTTTCATGAGGGTGTCTGTAAAAGCCGGAACCCCACCCGGAACCCCACCCGGAACCCTACCCGGAACCCCACCCGGAACCCCACCCGGAACCCCACCCGGAACCCTACCCGGAACACCCGGAACCCCATCCGGAACACCACCCGGAACACGCTGGGATACGAGCTATGAAGCAACGCACGTGTTTCTTTATATATTCACGTGTTGCGCATTAAATTCGGGGTGGTGGATGGTTACGATCTTTACTTTTTACTTGTATTGTTGTTTTTTTAAATAATTTTTCTCATGGGCAAGGATAAATATATTATGTCGGGCGGTATATAATATCAAATGCATGAGTTTTGCTTGTTCGTAAACGTGCAAACGAAGTTTCGCTCGAGGCGTTTGCCGCATGTATTTATTGCCGCATCTATATTTTTCGTTTTCTATATTCTGCCGTACTATGTACCTGTGACTCTATTCTAAATTTAGTTGAACAATAACCAATATTTAACTTTGCTATCTTTTTTTATTATTTGAATAATATGTTTGCATATGGTTACTTTGACTTGCAATTGTATGAAACGGCCCCATGCAGGAATTTAGAGGAATTATAAAGTTCATCCGTATTTATTACAATACGAATTCTCGTGGATTTGCGAAATTTTTCATGGATTTCTTTACTAGACTTACTCGCTTTTTTGGAACTTTGAAAGACGTTTTAGTAATTTGGAGGCTGTTTTGTATATGACAATGACTGCAGCCTACAGTAAAAGTGCACGCGCGAGATCTCAGAATAACAGTATTATTAAGTAAGCCCCCTTGATGAGTGTGAACGCTCTTGGGGCAAACTCATTCTCATCAGAAATATGTTTAAATAAAGTAGCTAATATATTATATGTATTGCTAGAAATTCCCAAAACATTCATTTGTCATTGAAAACGTTAACAACCAACAAGCAGGATGATGTCATATAAATAGAGCACGAGGCAAAAGTCCATGTTCCTTCGATCAACGGCAGTAAATAAAATGTATTTAATATATTAAATTAAGGACTGTGTTACTGTTGAAGTTATAACATGAACGTTTTGCCTAGTGGCTAGTGATATATACGACACCAGCTTGTTGATTTGGTTGTCAACGTTTTCAATGACAAATGAATGTTTTGGGAATTTCTAGCAATACATATAACTGATTTATTAGCTACTTAATAATAATTTTTTTTTTAATTTTTTTTTTTATTCATTTAAATAGATAGATAGATAGATAGATAGATTGTTTGTTTAATAAGATTAACACATAGCAGCCAAGAGGCTGAATTGCGTGCTAAATTTTACAAGAGAAATGATTAAATTAGTTATTCTATATTTACAGAAGTTTAAAATTACATTACAATTTATAATTCTATATTACAGAAGTTTAAAGTTACATTACAAATTAGCTATGAAACTAGTAAATTTCTAAAAAAATGTTAGCCAGTCTAAAACTGAATATCAGAATCGATTGTCAGTTAATATTATTGATATGCCTTGCAGATGAAGGGAAAAAACTGTTTCTAAATCTGTTCGTTTTGGTCTGAGGAACAACAAAAGACCTTGAGTGTCTAAGGTCGTAATTTGGAAAGTATCTAGATGGTACATGATTATGCATATTAGCTACTGGTGTTGTGGTGATTTCATTAAACAGTTTCTCGCATGCATCCACACGCCTGTCACTTAATGGTTTGATGCCCGATTTTTGTAAACAATCCGCATAACCTGTCAGTGGATAGATGATTGATAAAACACGCTTTTGAACCCGTTCCAGGGCATTAGATAAGTAGGAAGGAAGGGCGAAGTGGAAAACTTGACAGCTGAATTCCATGACTGGTCTGACGCAGGTAGTGTAAAAATTTATTATGTCAGCTTCAGGTACATGAGCACGTTTCAACTGAATAATAAAATAAATCCGTTTGTTCGCCTTCTTAACTATGTTAGTTATGTGTTGGTTCCATTTTAGATCTTTAGAAATTGTCAAACCTAGGATTCTTGCGTGGTTCACTGTCTCGATTTGGCCTGAGATGATCTTAAGGCGCGGAAATTCTTTCTCAGGTTTTGTAAAACTGATAACAAGTTCCTTGCACTTGGAGGCATTTAATTGCATCTTGTTTTCTACAGACCAATTTTGAACACAATCGACTGTATCTTGAATTTTACTGGGTGTGTTGATGTAAATGATTTCAGATACCGTAGCATCATCGATGTATTTCCATCGCTCATGATGTGGGGGGCGTAGGTCATTTATCATTAGGATGAATAACCAAGGTCCCAATTTGGTTCCTTGAGGGACACCGGAAGGAATGTCAATCCATTCAGACATACAGTCTCTTGCAAGTTTCACCCGTTGTTGCCTGTTCATCAGAAAGTCAATTACCCACCGCTTAATGAAATTTGGCATTGGCAATTGGATGATTTTCGTGGCTAAGATCTTATGATCAATCAAGTCGAAGGCCTTTCTTATAGTCAAAAAGAACCACTCTTACAGCGTTTCCAGTTCCATCTGTGGCTTGAGTCCACGCATGAACCATAGAAATTAAGGCTTTTGTAGCAGATGATCGAGGGATGCCACCAAATTGAAAAGGATCAATTGACGACAACACTGCTGGAGCGATATATTTTTCAACAACAAACTCTTCTGCAAGTTTAGACAGAACCGGAGTTAACGAAATAGGTCGGAGCTGTTTGCTTATGTCTTTAACAGGTTTCTCTTTCGGAATAGGTGTAATGTTAGCTTGTTTCCAGCATGAGGGCAGTCTTTTTTGCTTGTAGGACGAATTCAATAAGTCCGATACAGAGGGAGCAAGGATTTCGGCATAATCACGAAGAATCCAATTGGGGATATCATCAGGGCCCGGAGCTTTATGCGGGTTCAAGCTTTTCAGTTTTTTCAAGACCGATGCAGTATTTGTCAAATTCATGTTTACATCTAACGGATAATCAGGAATCTCCTCAAACAAGGTGTTCAAATCTGTGACATTTAAGGGATCATAAGTATTCATTGGTTCTATTAGGCTTTTGTTAATTAAATCTGCAAAACCTTTGTGTGTTAAATGTTCTGTATCTTCGACATGAAGTTGGTTAAGCAAACTGCCAGATACAGGTCTCATACCGGAGATACGTTTAACCTCTGTCCACCAAGATTTGGGGTTAGACTTTTTCAGATTAGCAACTTTTGAAGCAAAATAGTCTGCCCGGCAAGATTTTCTCATTCTATTCACTTTATTTCGGTAGAATTTGAAAAGAGTAGTGTTATTAGATGAAAACGCACGTTGTCGAAACTTGATCAGCTGTTTCAATTTTTCGGTTATCCATGGGTTGTCGTTGCGATGGAATTTAACGTGTTTCTCGGGCATAAGGATGTCATAACCCGTCTTTATTGCGGAGCATAAGATATCACAATTCTTATCGCACGGTTCGGAGGAATCGATAAGTTGCCAGTCAAAGTTACTCAGATATCGACCAAGTTCTTTTTTGCGTGATTGACGAATGTCTCTTTTTATTACTGTCTTTCTACTTGTGGTTTCTGATGATGTTTTAACTTTGGGCTCAACCATTATCACATTATGGTCTGATAATCCGAAAGGAGGGAAAACCATGGCTGGTTGTACATCGTAAAATTTATGCATGTTTGTAAGTATAAGATCCAAAATCTTGGCACCACGAGTTGGTTTATCAACCAATTGTTTTAACTGAAAATCTCGGCAAAGATCTTTAGTGTCAAAGTGGTTAAAATCACCAGCAATAATAATTCCACAGCCTGGAAAAAGACTTTCCAGTAGTGTCAGTGAGTCTGATAGGTATTGAAAAAGATCTGTATTGCTGGAACTTGGAGGATGGTAGACGCACGCAGAAACAATGCCGTTAATTCCCCTTGGTAATCTTGGTGGTCTAATGTGTGTCCATAAAACCTCAAAGTCTAAATGTTCAATTTCAGGTAATCGTTTGAAACGGATGGAATTCTTTATGTACATGCAGACACCACCGTGGATACCAAGATATGCTATGCATATCTATACCCGCATATGTTATATTATATACTCGAAGCGCTGTACATTATAAAAATCTAAATATATTAAGAATTAAATATGCTATATAAAACATGGTATTGTATACAATTAGAATATACATTAATGTACGTATCTATAATAAGAATGATAGAATCCAATATGGTCTCAACCTATAAAGGGTTATAAGCCTTATTGAAAAGAAATGTTTTCAAGCGTTTCTTAAACACAGAAATGTTTTCACAGTTCCTGACATCCAGAGGCAGAGAATTCCATAATTGTGGAGCAGCATGTGCGAAAGCCCGATCTCCTAGAGTCTTACAGTTTGTTTTCGGGATGTATAGTAGACCTTGACCATCCGATCGTAATGTCCAGCGGTCATTTGATTGTTTTGGAATAAGCATTTCAGAGATATAGATAGGGGCAATGTTATTAAGAGCCTTGTAAACCAGTAAAGCAATTTTGAATTCCACCCGGAATTTTACCGGTAGCCAGTGAAGTGATCTCAAAACTGGGGTGATGTGAGAAAATCTTGGACAGTGGTAGATTAGTCTAGCAGCGGCATTAAGAACTCTCTGCATTCGCTGGACTTGATACTGAGGTATGCCAGCCAACAGAGCATTACAGTAGTCCACGTGTGATGTCACGAAAGCATGTATCAAAGTTTTCGTTGTATTAGTAGATAAAAATTTTCTAATTTGTCGTATTTTATAAAGTCCTCTGAATGCTTTACTGCACATCTTGCCTACATGAACTGACATTGACATATGCTTGTCAAACCAAGATCCCAAATTTCGAACACTGTCAACCGGCTTAATTTGGACCCCACCAACGTTAACGGATTCAATGTTTATTTTCAAAAGTTGTTGTGGTGTACCAATTACAAGAAATTCCGTTTTCGAATCTTTGAACATTAATTTATGAGACAACAGCCAAGTACGAACATCAGAAATACAATCTTCCAGTATGGCTAGGGTACTTTCTGAATTATCTTGACAATCTGGGCGAAAGGATACATAAAGTTGCGTGTCATCAGCATATCCATGAGAAGAGGGTAAGTGCCTGTCAATAATGTCATATAGTTGGGATACATAAAGCAGAAAAAGTATGGGGCCAAGACAACTCCCTTGAGGCACTCCGTACTTAACATCGCAGTCTTCAGAAAAATTGTTATCCAGATCAACTCTCTGTTTCCTGTTCAATAGATATGATTTTATCCATTCAAGAGCCCTATCCGTCACTCCAAATTGATACTCCAATACGTCAATGATAGTTTTGTGATCAATTGTATCGAACGCTGAGCTTAAGTCCAAGAGTACAAGAAAACACACTTCCTGCCTGTCCATACTCAGAAGAATATCGCTTTGCACCTTTAGCAGAGCCGTCTCTGTCGAATGATATTTCCTGAAGCCAGATTGACAGATAGGGAGAGGTGCATGTTTTTCACAATGGTTCAGCAATTGGTTGGCGGCTGCCTTTTCAGTGATCTTAGAAAGAAATGACAGATTGCTCACAGGCCTAAAGTTCTCAAATACTGGGTCCAAGCTAGACTTTTTCAGATTTGGTTTCAGCAAAGCAATTTTCCAGTGATCTGGGACACGACCCTCCTGCAAGGATAAATTTACGATTTTGGTGATAGAGGGAATTAGTTCCAGACAACAGACTTTAACAAGCCATGATGGGATCGGATCAAGCTTGCAGCTGGCACTGGACAATTCCATAATAACATCATGAATATCCTGGGGAGAAAGTATCTCAAAAGATTCTAATTTGACTTCAGGATTACGGTAATGCACCAACGGAGGATCGACATGGATACTGTCCACATTTTCTCTAATCAATTCAATTTTGCGGAAAAAATATTCGTTGAACCTATTTGTTAATTGACCAAGATCGTCATGAGGTGGTAAGGGATCTTCATGCGGCGCATTACAAAGGGAGCTCACAATTTTGAAAAGATTCTTTGGATCGTTGGAGCTATCACTGATAAGGGAAGTATAATAATCAGTTCGGGCTTTATTCAACAAGTAACAATATCGGTTACATATTTTCCGATAGGCAGTCCAATCTACTTCTAATTTTGTTTTCCGCATCTTTCTCTCTAGTCTCCTACGCTTTACTTTCAATTGTCTTAGATGTAGTATGGCGGCTATCAGCCTGGGGACGTAGCAGTGAGACCATAAGTTGGGTAGGTATTCAAACATATTCAGAAGAAAACAACGCCACTTTCTGTAAACGTCAGTGCAAATAAATGGATATTCAGTGTAGTGACCCTATCGTAATCGTAGCTTACTCGAGTTTCAAAAAAACAGAGAAAATCGGATCAAGTCGGTGATTTGGATATCAGTGGAAAAAATACATAAATTAAGCCAAATTTTGCTTCGCTTAGTCTCTTTCAATACTACTGTTTTTTTCTGAGTCACTATATACAATGAAAGAATGTTCCATCCTTTATCCAAACACTTCGAATTCGGTTAAAATAAGTCTGTATCGCCTCGTTTTTTAACCTACCTCTTGGTGTTTGTATATTGGGTGAAACACTCTTTTTTTTGGCTTGATCAATTGCATTCAACGTCGACACAACATTTCATTTGTACTGGAAAACCTTGGTTCAGGCCAAGACCCTAATTTGTAAATCACCTCGCCTACCATTTGTTGCAAAGCAAGCGTTTATCTCACTGATCTGTATTTAACTGGATTACCGGTAGGGGAAATACACTGGAAGTTGCAAAATTGGAGTACCAATGTGGCCGCCACGGGAATTATGTAAAACCTCGGCTAAAAACAGACAAAAAGGGCCCTTGATATTAAAACTTCTACCAGTACTATAGACTAAAAAAAACTTTATAAGGTGCAAGAGGGTTTTTTTATCTTCATATGCGCAAATGGTAGGCGCAGTCTAGAACAGTGGTTTGTCCACTCAAACGGAATGCGCGTGGACAAATGGGCGCGGAAAGACTAGGGGCAATAAAACCAGAGCAAGGCTGTTACGTTTCTCGCCAAAACGTCGACCTTTTTGACACTAAGAAGCTCTCTAACTGCTAACTTCTGTTCTTCCTTCTTCAACTAAAAAATTAACATTCCATTCCGTTTGTTTTTGTTTAGGGCGTTTTATGAGCTTTAGCAGTTTTGAAATGCGCAGCTTAACAAACCCTCCTGGTTTACTGGGATAAGATGTCATGTATCTGCTGGCTTTGGTTGGGGCCGTTCCTTTTGTTAGTCTGCTCATTTGGTCCTTTGTTCCAGGTGAAATACTGGTCTTGGGAATGTGATGAAGCGTTTGATTCTAACGCCGTTGCGGTAGCGAGAGAATGACTGGCTTTAGTCAGATAGGTAGATTCACAGGGAGGCTCTACTGATGTCAGCGGGGATGTGCCAACCAATGCCAGTAATTAGCGGTGGTTATGGAAATGGTTCTACAAGAGTGTCCTGCACGGTCGGAAAATGACCTTGATTTGGTGTTTCGTGATCCGGGTTCATTTCGCGCTGTTAAGTTGCATCGAAATTCAGCATTTTGGAAACTAATTGCTTCTGAACAGCATTCAACCATACAGCCCGCGTTGTTGTTCGTTGGGTTAGCAAAAAAGTGTCGACTTTTGTGTTTTTCTGCATTTTAAGGGTTCGTTTAAAGGTCTATTTAGACCTTATGATCACGTTCGTCCTCCGGATAGAAGCGTTCTCTTTGTTGGGGAAAGCGGGTGAGGTGCAGCCGCCACACATTATTCTTCCTCACACTGTCGCACCAAAGAAACCACGCCTATGTTAAGATGTTTGGCACTTGAATTTGTGGCTGAAAGATAAATCGTTTATTCTTGACAAGCCTTGTGGTTTGCCATGTTATCTGTCCAAAGACTCCTATTGAGGATAGCAGACTCCTACCCCTTATCCAAGATAGCAGAACGTTCTTTGGGAAACAATGGGGTGGGTGGTATTTCATATATAATACTTTGCCTTTTTGGTGGCTCGCCGTTTGTTTACCACAACAGTGGACTTGTGCATGACGTAATTCACAAACGGCGATTTGTCCTACTGGGGACATTGAGCAATACAGTATATTGATGTAGCACGCGAGATATGTCTGCCGATCTTTCCCGTCGGTATTTATTTCGTCCCACGACACCAAAGGGGCAATACGCGATTCTCCTTTTACGTCCACGGCGGCAAATGCACGTCTGAAAATATATCTTAAAGAAATGAAGGCGGATGAGGGAGGGACACTCCATGGCTTTCGGTCAGGATTTGCAATTATCCTAGCTCTCACTGGCGCTGGTTTAGTTCAGATCATTAATCACGTGAAATGGTCTCGTCGCAATACTGCTTTGTATTATTTACAGCTCGGTATATATAAGGTCTTGAATCCGGACGGTGCATCCGCTCGCTTCGCGTCATCTGTAACTGCAAACGTTATCCATCTATGGTAAAATCTTAATGATCTTTAGAGTTTTGGCGGTGCTTTTCCAACGGACAATATTGCAAAACGTCCATGGGAGGAGCAGTCCTGACTAACATGAAAAGCCTTATATTGTTTGGGATGAAATTGAGGGTTTGTGTGGAAATTAAAAGGGTACAATTTAGAAGGGTGTGCTTTAGTAAGGCTTGAATTGTAGAGTACGCATTGGTTGATAATCTCGGCTGAATTGCTGTCTGGGCATGTCATTAACATAAAGACTAGGGAGACGCGGATCCCTACTATCCGATACCTTAATTGTAACTGAGCATGATTAGGAGAGTTATGAAGAGAATATTATTCATAACCCTCATAATGAGGCGCGAAGTGGAAATTATGAACAAAATCACCCATATAACGGTTGGCTGAGCACAGTCACACGTGAAGTGAGCTTCGGGGACTATAAATATTAGAGGAACACTCTAGACTTGCTAAGTTTCTTTCTAGCGGACAAGTGAGCAGGCAAAATGACCCACCGGCCCATCCCTGTCTTAAAAACGCCACTACCTCTAAGCCATACTTGTCAGGTCACACCGCTTGATCACTATTATCCTATACCTTAACTAAGCATGTGAACAGACTACTCTTTCGACCAATAGAAATACGCGCCGTTCAGAGGCAGACCAATTTACCCCCATCATGGTTGCAAGCTCTCCTTCTGGAGGAAAGCCTGCTCGCAGGCTAATATGCAGGATGAACGCAAGCCTAGCTGACAGGTTTGGTGGAGGTTAACGCGAGGTTAAAATCAATTTTTGCAGTTCATAAAAACATAATTTATGCGCAGTTTCGAACATACAAAAGAATTCTGGGGACGACCCAAGAGCCCCTATTTTCTTTAGAAATCACATACGTGCTGGAAGAATTTCTAAAATTCTACCATGCCCAAATGCAAATTCACGGTTATTATATATAGAGTATTCATAATTCCCCATTATGTGGTTGGTTTGAAACAGTTGCAGAGGGTGCTTATGTTTTTGAACCATTGTGGTTATTGCAAGTCTAATTGTCTCCAGAACACAGGAAATGCCATTCAAGAAACAGTAGATTTCAAAATTTTGTTGAGAATTGGGAAACATGCCAACGCAACCAAACCAAATTATTATTCTGCTACCTACGCAATTTAGGAGGCTAAATTGACGAATTTTCACGTTAACACCCGCCAAATGACATTTCAGTCAGAACGGCTCTGGGTGAAACTTCCTCTTTTTCTTGCCTCTCGTTTGATCGACGAACTCAGTGAAACTCCTCCTCTGCACGGTAAACATTTTCAGAAGCAGTCAAACAGGCACATATCTTCAATGTAAGTGTTACTCAATTAATATGTAAAGCCTTCAATGTAAGTGTCACTCAATTAATATGTAAAGCTATGAAAAACGTCGGCATGATGTTTGTCGGTTCAAAATAAGTCATCACCAAGTTAGTGATAGACATTATCCCAAATTCAAGGTACTTCTCTATTCGAGGTGATTGAGATAGCGAGATTATATTACCTGATTTCTTGGCTGGGTTTATCGTTGATCTCTTCTGCCATCTCGCGCAACAAATGCCACTTGAATTTCGCTACAAGCCAATCTTAATTAAACAAATACAACAATTATAATAGTTTTGTTTGTAGAAACACCACGTAAATTTATTACTGCAAAGCTTTCGACCCGTAAGCCCGGATCTTCATCAGTGCTAATAATATGTGACTTGTTTAATTCACACGCCCTTTTTATATACAAAAGTGTCGTGATCTGTTGTCTCGCGTCATTTGAAATTTAATTAAACGGCACATCAACCACGTCATTTCAAACGTAGTGACGTGATTCCAATTAACAATGTGGTGTTTCCACAAACAAAACTATTATATGTTTTATCGCCATGCAAACATACAAAGAACTTAAATACAACAATTATTAAGAATCTGACACCAGTATGTTCAAAACGTTATTGAATAAAAGCCAAACTCTGCTTTCGACTGTCCACTCATAACCCTGATAATAAATAGTTAGTCGAAAACGTTTGGCTTTTGTGACAACGCAGGGTCGCGTTGTGGCGTGAATTGCATATATAGATATAGGAGATCTAGATAGCTATGATATTAGCACTGAATTACTATGAGAAATAGTAAAATATACGGCAAGCTTGCTCTGAATGTTTAAATACTGTAATGTTTACGAATTTTGTTGCTTAAACTTTTGACACCCAACGAGATTTGTCCCACAGTCCGATCTTAGCTGTTTGACAGGCACACGTCTACCGACGAAACGACGATTTGCGTTTGTAAACGAACTCGTGTCCATGGAATGCGCAATTTCGATATGTACGGCGCGTAATGTCATACGTGTAAAGAGCACTCCATATCTCTTTACTTCTCTGCGGCCTTCTTTCACCGATTGAAAAATTGTCAACTCACTCTTGAAAACTTGTTCCTGGACATTCTTCACGATCTTTTCTCCGCATTCAGGAGATCTTCTACCTCGACTCTTTGCTGGGTGTGTCTGTGCTGTGTGAAGCTTCGTTTTCTTTTGAATGATTTCTCATGTGATTGCCTTCGCAAGCAGTTTTTTCATGGACCTTAGCGATGAGTTTTTCTTTGAAACGCAAACAGACTGCAATAGCTTTCTTGGCCTTGTGCCAGTTGGAAAAGTGTTGATGAAGACGATCAGTTATAATAAGGTCCTCCTGTACGTGGATGGCAAATTAAGGATGATATCTCTTTTGTTTGTGGGTCCTCAAGCGACAGAGCAGCGGTTCCGTCGTCGATATATCCTTGGTCATAGTCAATAGGTTCTCATAAATATTTGGAACCATTCCACCGTTCAGTTCTAGAGATGGTATCTTACGCGCTCATCCCATGAGAGGCGAAATCAGCTGGGTTGGACTTTGTGTGCACTGACTTGGTGAAGATAGATCACGGATTTGCTAAACTCGGTTGGAGACGAATACATGAAACGACGGGCGTCATTCGCGATATACCCTAAGGCAACCTTGCTGTCCGTCCAGTAATATACTTTTCATCTGGTCGTATTGTAGCTCCTTCTGTAGAAGGCACTAATCTTGGCAGATACCAATGCAGCAATGAGCTCTAGTCGAGAAATTATTATTTATCAAATTTCGCCGGCCATCTTTCTTCTGTTTCATTTTGAAAACGGAATATTCTATTTTTATCAACAAGTTAATATTCTATTTTTATCAACCAGTTAATTTATTTTTTATTTCAATTATCGTTTGAAATTTGTTCAAATCGCTTCGTAATGGCCGCCGACGAAACATCGATCTCGAACCCACCTCCTGAACATACGTCAGCAGGTGAATTCGAGTTTGAACACATCTCCTCGTAGCCAATATAGAAAAGCCGCTAATACGCTAGATATGAGATCATCCTTTAAACTCAGCGCTACAATCAAACACCACTCTGATTTTGTCATGCTTCTACACACCGTGGTGCAGCAACAGGAACCAGAGATAACCGTTGTCTTGAATTATATATGCCATAGTCAGGAACTCGTTCAGCCTAACCAGATTTGATAATTCCTTTCATAAAGGTCAAATAGTCCTTATGATAGCTTTGATCGTTCTTAAAACGATTCTTGAACTTGTTAAGTTGACTCATTGCTTGACTCTTGTTGTTAGGAAGCTTGATTCTTTAAAGTAAGGGGATTTCAAAGTGACCGTCGTCTCGTTGATGGATCTCTTCTTCTACTCTTTTCATGAACAGCGGATCACTATACGACAGTGGGGGACTACTTTTCTCTCTGTCGCTGAAATCAAACTGGAACGTTTCACCGACTTGGGAAGGTGTTAGAATTTCTTTTACTCGGCTTTTCAACACGAATTGGCAAGATGTTCTTTCTTTACCACCAATGACTTTCGCGAGTGACGATGAGGTATGTTTGAACCGAATCCTTATCGGATTCCTCTGGGTCATGCGTCACTGAACTAACAATACCCCAGCATAGCGCAGTTCGGATGCAGTAGGGATCGTTGTCATTTCCAGGTAAATCTTTTGTTTGCGCCGATGAGTAATCCGACCTCTACGTTTTTCTTTAATGGCGTTAGATGACACGTTGCTGCTGATTCTCGGAATTTGATCTTGCCATTCGTGAGTAGGTCCTTGGCAAGGCTATATCTACGGTCTCGTTCAGTCCACGAACGACAAGGCCAGCAACATTCCTACTATTAATCTTTTCTTGCGCTAAAGCTGTAGAAAGTTCGAGTTCTACTTCTGGACCATTAATTCCAAGCGAATCGAGTGCAGAGTGTTTAATGAAGCAAGCATCAGACTGGTCGTCCAGCAAAGCGTAAGTTAATATCTTCCTACCTGTATCGTTGGCGTGATGAACCCACACTGGTATATACAAGCGAATGAGAAAAAGGCACATCCGTAGCTTTCGTATTGAGGACATCTATGCAGTTAGAAATAGTACTTTCTTGCGAATTGACTTCTTCGTTGGGTCTTGATACTTCCTTTGGCTTAAGGTTTCCATATGTTTTGCAATGGTTTGGCTTGTCCCCATGTAACGCAGTAGCGTGTACTTCGCCACAAGTACGATAGCTCTTTTTCCGCCTGCACGACGGATTATTATGACCCCATTTCAAACATTTCCAACAGAGATGTTTCGAAATAATAAATTATTATTATTTATTTATTTAATATATTCGCCCACATCAGTTTATAAAATTAACAATTTAAATAGAAAATATTTACAATAGTAGGGCTAGGAACCTTCTAGAAACCATAAGGCTTTTGTTTAAGGTCCCTAGTTACAATTCAAATAATATAATATTAAAAGTTAATACCAGTCCAATTGTTTTCAAAGGAATTACGGTGATATATTTACAATAAGGAAAGTGCGTAAAGATATATTAGACTATAACAACCTTAACTATTTGGCTTTTTACTTTGTGCTAAGAATTCTACTTATTTAAATTTGACAGAAGAAAATATATTTTCATTGTGGATTTAAATATTGGAAGAGATCTAATTTGCTTATATTGCGTCGGAAGATTATTCCACACATCGGCGATTCCGTTATTAAGGCCTGATTCCACGAGCGCTTTTTCTCGGCGAAATGCGAAATATTTCGCCTGTTTCTTTTGAATTGCGACTACTCGAATAAATTATTTCTACTTGATTGATCACAATTCAAAAAAAACAGGCGAAATATTTCGCATTTCGCCAAGAAAAAGCGCGCGTGGAATCAGGCCTTTACCGAGCGTGTGTTTTTTATAATTTGTTCTAGTACAACTTTTGTGGAGCAATGATGCGTTTCTTGTGTTATAATTATGGATTTCTTTGTTAGTTAAAAAATATTTATTAAAAATTTCTGGAAGATTTTGTAGATGAAAATATCGGAACATAAATAAACTTGTTAAAAAATCATTCAATTTATACAAGTTTAGTATTTTAAGGTCATTAAAAATTGGTCAGTGTGCTCAAAATAGGATTTGAAGGTCATTAATCTTACTATCTTTTTCTGGATATTTACTATTTTTTGAATGTGGGATTTGTAAGCGTTACCCCAAACAAAATTATGGTATATAAGATAGGGATAGACCAATGCATAATAGATCAGTTTTAAGGAATTTAGGTTTGTAAAATGTCGCATTCTGGATATAATAGCTGTACATTTGATAATTTTTTTTTAAATAAGATCTATATGCTCGCACCATGATAAAAATTCATCTAGAACAATCCCTAAAAACGTAGCTTTTTTACTTGTTTTATAGTTTCGCTATTTATAGAAATTCTTAAATCACATTTAGGTTTCTTATTTTTTTATCTGAAAAGGATCAGCTTGGTTTTTGCAGTGTTTATAGCCTAGATAAGTTGTTAACATTCAACCAATCTGTAATTCTGTTCATTTCAACTTGAGTAGTTTTGTTTAAAGTTTTGAGACAAACATCGCAATACAGTGTGTTAGTGTCATCGGCAAATAATGCAATTGAAACCAATTTACTGCAATATTGAATATCATTTGTGCTGTGTAAAAGAGAAATATTACAGGACATAAAACTGATCCTTGTGGCACACCCTTTGTGATAGTCATTTCTTCAGAATGTACTCCGTTATATTTTACATATTGCTTTCTATTATATAGATAATTTTCAAACCATTTTTTGCTATTCCTCGTATACCATAATGTTCCAATTTTCTTATCAGAGTCTTATGATTAATTGTGTTAAACGCTTTTGACAAATCAAGGAAGATACCAACAGTGAACTTCCCTTCTTCGATTGCTTTAGTTATTTTATCAACAAAATCAAGTACAGCAAGTTCTGTTGACCTGCTGCGTCTGAAACCATATACTGATGTTTTGATAATATCTTGTTCTTATCAATAAAATTTATTAGTCTATTTACCATAAGCTTTTCCAGTAGTTTAGAAAAACAAGTAAGGACTAATATAGGTCGGTAATTTTCAAATCTATTTTCTTCATTGCCTTTAAAAATTGGCTTTTTCCAATGCGACTTTTAAATTATCTGGAATAATTTCTGAAGTTAAAAATATGTGTTAATGGCTTAAGGCCTTGTCACACTATTACGTATGAGAGAAACGTACGAGAAGCGTATGAAAATTAATGAAATAATTTTCATACGCACAAAAATCCTTCGAAATGCCAGCGTATGAGTACCGTTCATCTGGCGTACCTCTAGCTTATTCAGCGTGTGCCTAGAGTATGCTTATCGTATAAAGTAAGGCCTACTTTGGGGGTCAAGGTCGCCTAATTTCGCCTAATGTCGCCTAATTTCGCCTAATGTCGCCTAATTTCGCCCAATTTCGCCCATGTGCACCCGATTTTTGAACTTTGCCTAACAGTCTATTCGCTTAATGTCGCCTAATTTTTTTTCGCCTAATGTCGCATAATCTCACACAAGCATGCCCAATTTTGCACTTTGAAGCCCCGTTTACACGACAATCATTTTGGGTACGGCACGCTTAAATTTTGGCACGCGGACCCATGCTTTTTGGTCCGCCTGTTGCGTTTACACGACAAAATTTTTGTTCTAAAAATTTTGGGTTCGGCACGCTTAAACTGGGAACGGCACTCTTAACAAAACTTTGATTTGACATGAAATATCTGATCTATGACACCTATTCAGCCATAACTTTTTGGTGTATAGCGAAAAGTGTATTAAATTAAACTAATATTCCGAGCATTAAATTAACATTTCATTTTTACCAATTTTCTCATTTTTTCCCGAGTAAAATAAGCAGAAACTATATTTTTATTGAGATTAAGTTTTCGAAAATTTGTATTGAAGTATTTCCTGACAATTATTAATATTTTCGTAAAAAATACAAAGTTTGTGTATTCCATGCATGCATGCATGTATTTCTTCAACTGTAAGTTTATAAACTCATATAAACCTAGCAAAATATGTACTTGTTGGTGCTTGTAAAGCCATTATATATAAGCTATATATAGATCATGATATTTCATTGACCTTCATGGCGATAAACAACTTTGTAATAAAGCAATAAATTCGTATTATAAAAATATAGGATGCCATTTTGAAAGCGTGCACAGTGCGAACAAGAAACACTGCGTCTTTTAATTGGCAACACTAAAACATTCAGTAACCTCGTATAAACTTAACTATAGCTGACAAGCAGCGACAACAGATTAATTTCAGAATACTTAAAATTAAACTGATATTTAGATATTCTGTTTTACTTCGTTGAAAATTAATTTTTACTACAACAATGATTCGGCCGAGGCTACAGGCTCATTTGCACATTGCATGATTATGGTGAATGTTGACCGATACTCGATAGCACTTCGCCCTTGGCAAATGATTGTTAATTATGAAATAACAATATAATCTTCACCATCACATATATCAGCATTGCTTAAACTGTTAAACTGCTTAAATACAGTTCTCTTTCTCTTCGCTTTGACTTTAGTGTTGCAAGAATACGAATACCAGTTGAATATATATAGCTTCTTTATGCATGACCACCTAGTCATCTTGTATATGGCTTAGTCTGACCATGCACATGCATTTTCCCTCGATATTTTGTTTGTACAGACACAATATTTTTGCAATGCGAGAAACAAAACGCGTGCGTAACAAGTTTTCGGTCCGCGGACCCATTTTTAAGCGGGCCGAGACTACCTCCTGAGGAGGTCTCGGCCCGCTTAAAATTTTGGGCCCGCAGACCCTTAATTTTGCGTTTACACGACAAAAATTAAGAGTGCCGTGCCCAAAAAAATGGGACCGCGTGCCAAAATTTAAGCGTGCCGTGCCCAAAATAACTGTCGTGTAAACGGGGCTTGAGTTTGTCGTCCATTCTAGTCTATTCCTTATTTATTTGTTAGTTTCCTGCATGTTTTTTGTTATAAATACATGTACAGTGTAATCAAACACCAAGGGCATGTGCTGTTAGGGCACCTATCTCACCAGTACTAATGAGGCTTGGTTATTTGGGGTTTATATTTAAGTAAGCCTGACGCTGGTATTTCACTATGGATCATAATAACTATAAGCATTTCAGTATAGAAGACTCTAAACTTAAGTGGAACGGTGACCTTGAACCGCTTAAGTGTTTTATCGTGAACGAATTAAACCTATCTGGAAAATGGTCTTCCCCTGGCGGCGAGGTGAAACTGTTTAGGAGCGAAAATAAAGTTTCCAGTGAGGGTGAGATTGTCAAAATTAAGTGGTACCAGAGTAAGAAAACCTTGTTGTTTGAAAGATCTAGAGCTAAACATGATGGAACAGGATATCTACAGTATAAAACAATCAAACTCAAGCTTCAAGGAGGGAGAAACGTGCAAAAGGTTTGATACTTCAAATTTGCATAATAACGATAAATTCGTTGAAGCGATTAATGACTTCAAACTTCAAATTCAACAGCTTAAGGGTGTTATGGAACAAAACAAAACTGCCATAGCTAACCTTGAAACCGTATGTCAATCCTCATCGAATGATACTGCATATATTGAACTACACACGAAAAGAATACGAACTTATTTGCTCTGAAAATGCAATTCTAAAGAAAGAAAACGCCGAATACCTTGAACGCATGAACAACTTAGTCTATATTACCTCTGATTTAAATACAAAAATTAAAATACTTGAAGAGGAGAAGGCCAGCTTAGTAACCTCAGTGCGTCTCGTAAACGAGGACAAACGGCAATTAATAATTGAAGCTAAGCGCTTAGGAAATGTTTACGAACCGGAACCGTCCTCTGAAGTCTCAAACCAAACAACGCATTGCGAAAGCACACAAAATGAAAATCCTATGCAAAATGAGCAACATGATAAAATAATTGAATTGGTGGAATTGGATAAAACATTCCAAGAACCGAATGGCCCGAATACAGGAATTGAAAATATGAACCCCGTTGCAGGGGTGGCTGTGTCTGGCCATCCCGACAGAACTAGTACAGATAAACAGCCTAATTCCGAATGTGCGTCTCAAAATCCTAAGAGTGTTGTCCCATGTCCATTCCTTCTCCGCCGTGGCCATTGCACTAAAGGAGTCAATTATGACTTCTCCCATTCGAATCTGGAATCTAATAACAAAGAACATCAGATCTTTTCTAAACCCAAGCACCTGACCCCATGCCCCTTCCTAGAAAGAAAGGGAAGCTGTTTAAAAGGCGAAAAGTGCGACTTTTTTCACAAAACCACCCATTTTCAACAACGGCACTATCCCAATTATTACGAAAATCCGGCTTTTTTAGAACCGCTGGAAAGCATCAAGTCAATATTGAGACAGGTGGAGGTGGGTCTGCAGAAATTCAATATAACTCATGGAACCGGTTTCCAACAAATCCCCACTCCGATGGGTCTGAATCGATGCCCACCGACGGCGATGCCGCCAAATCGACAGCTCCCACGGCCACTAATGAGCATACCCTACCCCTATTTTTAAATGATTACACTGGCAATTATAAATCCCAACCAATTAATGTACGTCTAACTCAGAGAAAACCTTACAGAAGTCCGGTCACAACGAGTAATAGTGTCGAATTACCAATACACGTAAACACAATATATTCATGTC